GAGAGATAGAAACATCAATGATGAGAGAATCATTGATCAGCTGCCTCCTGCACGCCTCCCACTGGGGATAGAGCCCGCTACCCGGGCATGTGCCCTTGATCAGAATCGAACCTGGGAACCTTCAGTTCACAGGCTGATGCTCTATCCACTAGGGCTAGCTCACTTTTATTTTTATTATTATTTATTGATTGATTGATTGATTGATTTTATTATTTTTAGGGCTAGCTCACTTTTAAAGAAATACTGCAATTTAGATCTGTGAAAACAAAAATGTCAGTTAAAATAGTATGGGAGACCCTTTTCATTCTGACCTTGGTTGACTCATTCTTTTCTTTAGATAATTATGTCCATCGACTGGTTGCAAGTAAAACAGATGGAAAAATAGTACAGTATGAATGTGAGGGTGATACTTGCCAGGAAGAGAAAATAGATGCCTTGCAGTTAGAGGTAAGATAAGTTATTAGTAATTACTAAATAGCTTTTTACTATTCTAACTTGAAAGGTGTTTTAGATTTTTAATTTTGCCATTTACTCTGCATGTCAACTTTTTTTAAAAAGTTCTTTTACTGCTATAAATGATTATTAGAATATTTTTATTCTGGTTTTCTTACGTGAAAGTCTAAGTTTCACTGTGCCTTATTTTCAGTGTGATATTCTGAGTTGTCTCAAGTTTCAGTATTAAGGTTGTCCTCTGTAGCTCCTCTAAAACTGGAACTTAAGAATCTTTCTGTTGGCATTATAGTAACAGTTGTAAATTGAGCAGACTTGGTTGGAATGAGGAAACCTCAATAGTATCTTTCCAGGGAGCTTTTGCCTATATATTGGCTGGCATTTTGTGAATTTGATGCCCATATACATAAAGCCATTTTTAGGTTCTCATATATTTGAAGAAACAACAAAATTAGCACAGTCTATGTTTTCTCCATACCAGTAAATCCCGTCTACTATAAAATTGATGTCATGTGCATTTTATGTTAATGAAGTTTAACACAAGTCCTATCTACACTAATAAAAGAGAAAAATGCAAATTGGTGTCACTCTGCTATGCCCACCAGCCAATCAGAGCGACTATGCAAATTCACCCAACAAAGATGGAAGTTAATTTGCATATGCAGGCACAGAGTGAAGACTGAAGGCTCCGGCCGGAGTGAAGACTGAAGAGGGGAGAAGCCAAGCCTCACTGCAGCTGGAGGGGAGAAGCCAAGCCTCGCTGCAGCTGGACCAAAGGCCTGGGTCCTGGGTGCTGGAGGAAAACCGGTGTCAGCAGCCAGGGGAAGGAAGGCCTATTGCTCGAATCTTCATGCAATGGGCTTCTAGTTTAAATATAACATCTATTCATTAGAGTGTGTCTTCTAAAACCCTCTACTTGGCAATTATATAGTAAGCCATATGTTCACTAAAAATATAAAAATTT